GTTTAGAGAAGCATTTTAAGGTCCTGCATTATGTATGAGCTGAGTTGCATTATGGATGTAATGGCCGGTGGGCTGATATGATGGGTGGACTCCTGGAAAAACATTTGCAGTCCCTCTTCCCTGAAAGCTTAAGAGATGCATGGAGAATCAGGCTGATTAGGGGCAGAATGAAATAGCTGCTGGTCTCTCCGATCTAATGAGACTTGAGCAGGAGTGGGCAAAATGCGGCCCGGGGGCCGGAAGCGGCCCGCCGGGCCATTCCATCCAGCCCATGGGGCCCCTAAAAAATTTAGAAAATGAATATTAATCTGCCCTGGACTGCTTGTCATGTGGCCCTTAATGGCTTGCCGAAACTCAGTAAGTGACCCTCCGCCCAAAATAATTGCCCGCCCCTGGACTAGAGTCATATTTTCATATGGCTCTGTTATGAGAAAGAGGGCCTCCCTCTTTCCTGTAAGAGGAAGTGTCTCAGACTTTTTTCTTTGGTGTTGGGATGGTGTGAAGGCATTATTTGTGTTTGGCTATCCTCCTGAGATCCAACCGAGATCAGGGCCCAATGTGGCCACAGCATAAGTATTGTCAGTAGTGCCCGGCTCTGACAGCTTGGCATTACGGTCCATGTGTCAAATAACTCGAGTAATTAAGGTCAACAATGGGTAGGAGAAGGGAATTGTAGTTTTCCCCATTGCAAACTGAGGCAGAGCAACTTGCCCTAAGTTATTATCAAGAGGACTATGCGGTGCAGCCAGGAAGTGAGCATGGGTCTCCAGAGTCAGTCCATTGCCTTAATCCTAGGAACGCCCTTCATTTCTAATGTATCATCGCTGTTCTTTATTTTTACACGTGCCTGCAGAGGCTGCCAAACACAATGATGCACCGCTCCCGCACATTGTGGGTTTTTCCTTAAGCGCAATAGTTTGTAAATCTTGTGCAATGTAAGCCAAAGGTTTGGAATTGATGTTCCTGGAGCTCCTTTTGAACAGTCTCGGTGCTGACAGCTGAGATATGATCGTACATGTTCAGAAGTTGTCAAGGGGGGGGGAAGCCGGAAGAATAATCTGCATCGACTGCAGCTTCATCAGGTATCGAGAATCCCATAAATCTCTCTATTCAATTACTTGGCTGGATTTGAGAATCGCAGATTTACAAAGCGGCGCTGGGTCAGGTGTGCAGCGATCTCCTCCACCACGTGACAGGGCTCGGAAATAATGGATGGGTTACAGTCCATGGTAGCATATGAGTCTTGTCTTATCAGCAGCAGTACAGTTAATGGCTAGGAACTGAGGGGGGGGAGTGGAGGGAGAAGGGAAATAACCATCCTCATACAGGATTAATGAGCTTTTGAGTGAAATACCCACAGCAAGATTTTTTTTCCATCATGTCTGGCTGCTTAAATTTACAGCCAGTGTAAACTTGGGGAGGTGGAATATGCTGACTGGGTTCCCAAGCATGCTTGTCCACGGGGTACCATAGCCACTGATTTAAAAAAAAACAACCAACCCAGCATGAACCCGAGTAAGTAACTTGGTCCTGCAAGTGCTCGTTCCCGTGCCAGGCTACAGCGACTCCAGCTGAATTTGATAAGGCTTCAGTTGAATTTGATAAGGCGGCCTACCTTGTGTAAACCCTTTTACGCGTCGGCAAACCCAAAGCCTAGCACACTGGGGCCCAGGTCTCAGGGAGGTCTTTTCTTTTCAACTGTAATTATAATCCTGAGCATTTTGAAAGGGGGGAAGGAGCACTGCACAGCGATCCAAGGACCGGACTGAAATGTAGGAATCCTCCCTTCCGTTACCAGATCCTCGCTACAGACTCGCTTTGTGAACTTGATCAAGTCATTTTGCTGTCATTTCTGAAGCAAGGCTGATAATGCTTGCCTGCCTCAAAGAAGTGTTGGGAGGCCTGGTTAAAAAAAAAAAAAAAAAAAAAAAAAGTTTGGAGCATCTTCATGGAAGAGACACATGTGCTCAAGGCGGCTGCTGCTCGTTTCGTAGAACGTGCGCCGCATCCATTTGTGGTTGGGAGAACAAAGGTGCGTTGTGCAGCGGCTGAGAGACCAGCTATGTAGCTTCATAGCATCGGGGTGGTTAGCTGGCAGCCTCAGTGAAAGTTTTTTTCTTTGACCTTTTAAGCCTTCCCAGGCCAGTCGCATGTTTTGTCGCACTGCGTGCACGTTTGCCTTGTGCAAATTATACCGCTAACACGGCATAGCATGGAAAACAAAGCAGCGGTAATTAAAGAGGGGAGAGCTGATTAAGATGTCAGGGGGGATCACTGCTTATGCTGTAATCTCAAGAAAAGCCATAGCTGTAGCAGGGCACGCTATTTAGCAGCCATTGTGCATGGCATATGCATCCAGGGTAATGGCAATCTGCAGTGATAGGACCCTCCTCCCCCACCCCCGCTCCTTTTACCTTCGCATATACTGAGCCGATTGATCCTCTGTCTTGCTCAGAAGTCAGCTCAGTGAAGCGCCTGGAGTGCTCCTTGTGAATAAATTGCCTGTGATGTATAGTGAGGGTGAAAGGGACCATAATGACTCGTAACGTGGAAAGGGGAAAGGTGCGGTAATGATGAGGAAAGGCTCGGGGGTGTAGAGCAATGCGCTTCCTTTGAGATTGTTCCCTAAACAAGGACACATGACTACCCTAGGCAAGCAGGGGCAGGGGTGCTGCGTTGACTGCCATGAATCCAGCCAGGAGCAGGGAGCAGAAGGTGCAGTGGGGATGAACTTCAAGTCGCTTTGGGTATCACTTGCTTTGCCTTTTAATGGCCCCACTGGCTGTTTGCTGGCAGGACATGCAGCTCCCCAGGACTGAGGCATTGCCTAAGAGGTCTCTGACTGCCCTAGGCTGGGGAAAACAGCCGGATACAGAGAAACGGGACCATCTGAACACCTTGGCTTTAGGTGTGTTAATGGCAGAGTTTCATAGTTTCATAGTTGGTCAGGTCGGAAGGGACCTGAGCAGATCATCAAGTCTGACCCCCTGCCATGGCAGGAAAGAGTATTGGGGTCAAACAACCCCAGCAAGGTGATTGTCAAGCCTTGTCTTAAAGCCCCCCAGGGTAGGAGCCTGCACCACTTCTCTTGGAAGTTGGTTCCAGATCCCAGCCGCCCTGACCGTGAAGTGGCGCCTCCTGATATCTAGTCTGAATCTCCCCTCTGCCAGCTTGTGACCGTTATTCCTGGTCACTCCTGG